CCTTTTAAAAAACTGTTCTGGGTAGGTTTTGGCTGGGGCGGACATGTTTCTGTGCTGTGTTGTTAGTGGCTTTGCTGTTTATTTTTGGAGTTCTTTTTCTTCTTAAAGCCTCAGCAACGGAGGTGGCTTTATTGTTTGTTTTTGAAGTTCTTTTTTTTCTTAAAGCCCCAGTGCCTTCCGACCGGACTTGCTGAGTTCTTTTTAATTTTTTTTGTGAATTTTTTTTTCTTCAGCTGGAACAGATTAATCAGTTTTCAATGCATTCCTATGGGAAATGGTGCTTCAACTTACAAACATTTCAACTTATGAACATCATTCCTATACAGATTAACTTCGTAAGTCAAGGCACCACTGTATATCTTTAAAAGCTCACACTAAGTCAATATCAATTCAAGAGATCAAGTCAAATAAGTGATACAGGAAAATTTGGATTATGACACTTTTTCACAGTTTTATTACAGAAAAAATATGTTTCAGATTATGGCATTGTTTTACAGAGTTCTGTTATGAGATGTGTCATGTAGTCATCCAACATTTACATGGTCACTATGAACCTTCCTCTTTTGACACACATAGGTAAAGACAGGATGTTCATTTCATTGTCTTCCGCACAGAGAAACAGAAGAGGAATGAGGAAAACAAGAGAAAGATGTTTACCTGTCCACTTTTCCCAGACTCAAAAGCATCTGAAGAAGCTGCCCACTGCAACTGTTTCCCTTAGGGTTTAAACTCACAGGACCATATTGTTTCAAATTCATGCAAACTCCCCCATTTTGGTTATGAAATAAGAAAAGTAGAGAAAATAATTCAAAAGCCTGTGTAGGACTAACGTTCAATCCCCAACTGTACTGATGGAAAACAAAGAACAGGACTCCAAGAGGGATTGCACTGCAATCCTGTACACATATACTGAAAAGTAAGCCACATATAGATCAACAGGACTAGGAAAAAAGCTAATTGGAACATAGCTTGCTCATTAAAGACTGCAGCCTTAATCACTGCTCCTGTTCCATGTATACATACGATTATTACTGGATACTGTGAAGTGAATATATAATCCAGACACATAATGCTCTTTAACTACACAGATTTCTGATACCAGATAAAATTGCCACAAGCCTCTTATAAACATCACTTTCATTTTTTTTAATTATTATACTTCCCTCTGAATATTCAACACCTTTGAGGCAAAAAGAGTAGCAGATAAATTTAATCTCTTTTTCCTTTTTTTGGTTCTCTTCTACTTTTAATAATAATTACTAGAAATGGGGGGGGGTATTCATGTTCACATACAAATATGAATATCCCCCACAGGTGGAAATATCTAGAGACAGTCTACTCATCTTTTCGCTGCTGACGCGAGCTCGACGGAGCCTTCCTATCATGCCGTATGAATATCCCCCCACAGGTGGAAATATCTAGACTGTCTACTCACCTTTTCACTGCTGATGCAAGCTCGACGGAGCCTTCCTATCACGCCATTGTCCACAACAGATTAGCCACTCCTGGCAGGAGGCAGGATGACAAGCCTCTCTGCCAGGTTGCAAAATGGCTAATCCATTGCGGACAACAGTGCAATAGAAAGGCTCTTCATGGGAATTGAGGGCAGAGGATGGTGTTACAGCCCCTTGATACGAATTGGTTAATAGTCATGAAGTGTCGAGAAGAAGGGAGGAGTTAGAGAATGTAGAAAATGAACAATGGGTTATATGGGAGAAGTTTGATTCCATGATGATGGGAAAGAAAAAGAACTTGATGGTTTGAGCATGTGGCTGGAAGGAGAAAGAATGTAAGTGAAGAGAAAGAAGGAGGTGGGGCTAGCCCACCTTAGCCCAGCTTAGTGGTGTTTTTTATTTTAACGGGGATTAGTTATTTTATTTAAATATAATAATCTTTGAGTATGTTCTTTATGCTAAAGCCTGAGCAATATAAACTGATTCTATGAAACTCTATTTTTCTAATAAAAATAATTATAAAAATTCTTACAAAGGACTGATCTCCTGAACAGCAGGATCTGGCTAAATCCAGGGAGTAGAGAGGGCCACAAACTAGATATCTTTAAGAGTCCTACCTAACTGTGCTGTTGTGAATTCTAAGGAATCACAAAGCCCATGTGTCTGTACCTGCAAAGTACTGGGTAAAAGTAAAGTGTTCTTTTAAGGTTAGACTTGTTCAAGGGGCTTACGGTATGTACTGCTGAGGTCTTCACAATGGGTTATATGGGAGAAGTTTGATTCCATGATGATGGGAAAGAAAAAGAACTTGATGGTTTGAGCATGTGGCTGGAAGGAGAAAGAATGTAAGTGAAGAGAAAGAAGGAGGTGGGGCTAGCCCACCTTAGCCCAGCTTAGTAGTGTTTTTTATTTTAATGGAGATTAGTTATTTAACTATAATAATCTTTGAGTATGTTCTTTATGCTAAAGCCTGAGCAATATAAACTGATTCTATGAAACTCTATTTTTCTAATAAAAATAATTATAAAAATTCTTGCAAAGGACTGGTCTCCTGAACAGCAGGATCTGGCTAAATCCAGGGAGTAGAGAGGGCCACAAACTAGATATCTTTAAGAGTCCTACCTAACTGTGCTGTTGTGAATTCTAAGGAATCACAAAGCCCATGTGTCTGTACCTGCGAAGTACTGGGTAAAAGTAAAGTATTCTTTTAAGGCTAGACTTGTTCAAGGGGCTTACAGTATGCACTGCTGAGGTCTTGGGACTTGCTTTAGCACAAAGGTGGTAGGTAAGTGGCCTGTGGAACTCTCTGACCGAGTGCTAAGCGCTTCTTAGGGAGGCTTGGGCACCACACTCAGTTTGGCTTCCTGGACCACTAGAAAAACAAATAAGTGGGCTGTACCTCAAATCAAGCTTCAATTCTTACTAGAAGCAAGAATGATTAACTGGAGGCTATCACAGTTTGGAAGATCATGAGAAGACAAAACTCACTGGAAGAATACAATAATATGAGGGAAAGTAGTAGGCAGTAGAGAAAGAGGAAAACTGAAAGTGTGACTGATTGACTCTATGAAGGAAACCATGGCCTTCAGTCTGCAAGACTTGAGCAGGGTTGTTAATGGCACTGCTTTTTGGAGGTCACTAATTCATAAAGCTAGCATGGATTGGAAGTGATTTACTGGCATGCAACACCAACAAATATCAAGTTCAGTGCAAAATGATTTCATCTCTCGTGAACCCTGGTTGAAGTCATGAAATTTGGACTGCATCTCATAGCTACATCAAACTTCAAAAGTCTCTGAATTGGTTACTCTAAAGCAGTGGTTCCCAACCTTGGGTCCCCATATGTTTCTGGACTAAAACTCCCAGAAGACTTTACCACTAGCTGTGCTGGCCAGGATTTCTGGGAGTTATAGTACACAAACATCTGGAGACCCAAGATCGGGAACTATTACTCTAAAGTTTAAGCAGAAGACCACATTATCCCTGAGTGACAAATTACTAGCAACTGCAAGAACAAAGGAAGGTAACAAAACTAGATAGTTCTACCAAGCATAGCTCCTAATCTTGTTATAGGTTAGAAAAAATAATTACAGTTTGGAAGTTACCCATTTTCACTGAGAACAAATCTAGGATTTTGCAAATCCTAGAATTTGTTTCAAGAAATATAAATACAATTAGATGTATTCCAACTATTCTGCACAGTTCAAGTACAAAGATTATTCCAATTTGATTAATGAAATACTACAATCCTAATAACGGTTTTCTCCCATGCATGCAACAGTGATGATGCAAGAACAGAATGACAATGTCCCCATTGTGCACACAGGGCTGGCCAACAGGAATTTAGTGTTTTCAAATTTTCTATGGTCAAAAAGAGGAAAACAACAATGCTAATTGCTATCATTCTCATTTCAAAAGCGCTACACATCAACTATCAAGGCAAGCACACATAGACCCCAAATAAATAAAAGTGAGGCCATTTAACAGAACACAGCACTGACCTTATGAAGAAAGATTTATATAATTCAGTCCCCTTTATCCAAGTAATATAATCACAATACAACATCTCATTGATGGATAGTGAAATATACTTCTTGTGTTTCACAACTTCACTTCAAAAGCACTGAGAATCAGACATATTAGACACAAGGGACTGTCTTTCAACACTATGATAGCACTAGTGGCAGTGCATCAGCGATTTAAAATAAACTTAGATCATTCAACAGAGCATGTGAACCTGCAGGAATTCATTATCCTTAAGCCTACCCTAGTAAGGGACAGGAGAAAGAGCTGCTGATGTCTCCTTTACACATAGCTGTTTTCCAGCCCTAAATAATAAAGTGAAGAAAGGACTCTTAGCAAGCTGGCTTTCAGCAAGGAGAAACAGTTAGCTCAGCCTCACTTAACAGACTTATACAATCCACCAAATGAAAGCAAGTACAAAGGCTAGGTCTGTTTGACAGACTAGTTAATAACAAACACTGAATAAACCACTGTTTGAAATCCTGTTGCACAACTCCTAAAGAGCAATGCAGATGACATCATCTTCAGCGGAAACATTGCCACTGAGTAAAGGCTTCCTTTGGCAATATTGTCATATTATGTATGAGTTGTGAGCATCACAAAATCACCAAAAAGTCACCTCTGACACACATGGAGCTGTGCAACAAGATTTCAGTCATCAGATCTACATGATAACTCAATTGCTATGGGAGTTGACATTTACCTTTTCTCTTATCTAGACTAGAGATCGGGATATTTGTATACGCATATTCCTGTGCAACTGGACATAATGAGGGTCCAGCCCTCAGGGATGATCTGTCCACTCATATGTCCTGCTGTGGCACTGATCCAGCTCATCCTTCCAATCACCCCCAGAGACCTACTCTCTTCCTGCTCAGCTGGCCACTCAGGCAGGAGAAGGGAGGGCAAGTTTCCTTGCACAGCTGCCAAGGTTTCCAATTCTACTTTTATACTCACTTTTCACTGTACCTCAAAACTCACTACCAACAGCTAAGTCAAAACATCATCCTACATAAAACTTACCTCAAGGACGTTACTGCACTGATAAGCTTTTCAGTTTGATCCGATACAGTCTGGGGAAGAATAATTTCAACTGGCTGAAGGCGTAAAATTAGACTTTCCAACTCTAAACGAGTTACATAATCCTGAAAACTACCAACGATAACTTCCCCTGTAGTAGGCTGGACAGCCTAAAATAAAACAAATGTAAACAAGTAATGTATTCAATTGCTATTGTAGTATAAACCTTTGCAACTGAGTAGTTTGTTTCTACTCTGAAACATAGCTTTAAAATAAAGAAGTGGAATCATTCATGCGATGGCCCTAATGAGGCATCAAGGATTTAAGGAATTATTGAAACAACGATATGAGAGATCTGCTTTCAAGCCATCACCACCTCTAAATCTAAACTATTATCATTACATATCATAATTTAGTTAGAAAGACTATTAACATCATGATCAACCTCATATAAGCAACAGCAAGTAAGAAAACTATATAGACCAATTTTAAAACTGCGTAAGGCCACAGAAATTCCTGAGCAGTACTTACCACTATGCCTATGACAATATCCTGAGATTTATCTTTCAACTTTTCATTGCTTTCAGAGATGCAGAGGAGATAATTATCACACATGTCAGATTGTATTTCTTCAGCATCCACTGAATCATCGAGCTTCAGCAGAGGATTCACATTTAACAAAGTTAAAGAAAACTAGGTTTCAGATTAACAAATACACAATGAGATCACTGCACTTCAACTGGGCTAATGTGTGAAGTTGTACTCTCTCAATCTAGTCAAGGTTACTCTTTAACAATCTTAATATTGTGAGTAAAGGAAAATATCCATTTCCCTGCACAGTCTGTTTTATCACCTCCTCTTTGGTGGTCACCTTTAACTAAAAAGCTCAGATGTTTTTCTCTCTTCTCAAAATAAAGGTCCTTAATCCACTCAATCATTGAGTTACATCTCTCAAACCTCATAGTGATGGCCTTTTGTGAAAGACAGGCAAATATCCATATTACAAGTGCAGCCACATCTCAGCGTGAGCTATTACAGACTTACCTAATGTAAGAATGCTTGAAAAACTTACATTTTACAAATTTTACATCAGCAGATGTAAAATAAACATTATTATTTCTAGCTTATGAAGCCTGGGTGACAAGAAGAGAGAAAAGATGTACATGTTAATATGGAACTAAGTCCCATCCTCAAAAGGGATTATCACTCTAAAGGTAATTTCTACTTATAGTAACTTCTCTCCACAAGTTACATTAAGTTCAAAGGAGCTTACTCATACGTAAGCCTGAGATGACAACAAGATGTTATAGCAAAGACACAGTAGCTACAAAAATATAAATATAATCATACAGAAAAACAAGATGCAATCCCATATACTTTATTCTGACTTTACTACAAGGAAAACTATATAAATTAAAATATAAGGATATCTTCTCCTAGAATTGTAGATTTTGTATACAATGCAGTTAGTTTTCGGGCAAAGACTGAGCTTCTGTTCTCTCCAGCAGCCTTCAAAGCAGCTGTTTCCATTTGTTTTACAACTCCAACCTGTGAGAGAAGCAAATACTGAGTATAAATACAACTGTGTCCCAATACCAAGTATAGCACTATGGATGGATGGGTATAAATCAGGCCTTTTAATTTTAACTGCCTACTATGTACACTTACCATATGACAATGTTTAACTAAAGAGAAAGTATTTGTTTTTCTCTCTGCATACTGCAGCTCACTATTCAACCGAGAAAATACACAAGAAGAGCAAACTAAGGAAGTGAAAACAACTAAAACAAAGTAATTCTGTAACTGTGCCATATATACTCAGTGCAAAATTAATGCATTCCATTAATTATTGAAAAACACATTACCCTATTTCCCTGAAAATAAGACCTAACCTGCAAATAAGCCCTAGTATGATTTTTCCGGATGATCTTAATATAAGCCCTACTCCAAAAATAAGCCCCACTTAAGTGAAACCCCACCCTCCACCATTGTGCAGCAACCAGAAGAAGATAACATGACTGTAAAATAAAACATCCCCTTAAAATAAGCCCTAGTGAGTTTTTTGAAGCAAAAACTTATATAAGACTCTATCTTATTTTTGGAGAAACACGGTAATTTCTCTGCACATATTCATACTGTTTCAGTGTTCTTCCACAATGTGCATTAAGAATATGTCATTTTCTGAACCATTTCTTTTCCTCTGGCCTCTCTGTCTTTCAATCTGATGGACTGCTGTGACTCATCATAACTTTGTTGTAACATCAGAACAAAATTGAACACACTTGCTCCATCATGTCTGCTCAAACAAGCACTGAATGAGTGAGATGAATCCATATCACCCTTCCAATACAAGACCTCATCTGCCAAATACAGCAACTAACACTGACCTAAATGGTTCAGCCATCTGGCTTGATTTTAGGCAGTTTCCTTTAATGAGCCTGAAACCGTAACAATTTAAATAAACACACAGAAAAGTAGAAGCAGATGGCGAAGAATATATCACAAAGCAGTGAAATGAATATACAGTTAAAGAATCAATGAGTCTGAGATTTACCTTTTGATGATTCCAAAAACAAACACAAAATCTGACTCAGATTATTTGTAATTCCAGACTCCAGATCAAGCACAAGCAAGAACAGTGCACAGTTGCACACAAATTATTTTGTTTGCAGAAAAGACTATTTTAATATATTTTCAATCAAAGAAGAAAAAAATGTGTAACTAGGAAAGCACAGCTCAAAACAAGAATAGCGAGAAATCTGGTTTTAAAACAAACCTTGTATCCCTTTGCTACAAGACGCCGAACATGAACAAATAGTCTGTGAGTTGGTATGCTCGCAGTCATAAAGTTGTGATTTTTATGACAGTAGATGTTCAGTTCCTTTGCAGCAATCTATAAAACATGAGAGCACTGAAAATACATAGATCTCCTGTATGCATAAAGCTAGTTAATGAGGAAGTATCATCAAATAAAACTTTTGAAAAACATTCTCACAACAAAAAGAAGAGACTTGTTGACATGCTACTAGCAATGAATTTTAAGCAATTCTACAGAGGTTAAAATCCTGTTGTTTAGTGTAGCAAGTTGCAACTAGAGCATAGAATCATAGAAAAATGAAGTTGGAAAGGGCCTACAAGGCCATCAAGTCTAAACCCCTGCTCAGCGCAGGAATACAATCAAAGCATATCTGCTGGGTGATTAATGCCTTCTTGAATGCCTCCAGTGTTGGAGCACTCACCAGCTACCAAGGTAACTGGTTCCACCATCATACTGCTCTAACAGCTAGGACATTTTTTCCTGATATTCAACCGAAATCTGGCTCCCTTTGAGTGCATTGTTGTGTGTCCTGCACTGCACTCTGGGATGACAGAGAACAGATCTTCCCCTCCTCTGTATGACAAGCTTTCAAATATTTGAAAAGTACTATCATATCAGCCCCCAGTCTTCTTTTCTCAAGGTTTATCATGCCCAGTTCTTTTAGCCTTTCCTCACAAGGCTTGGTTTCCAGCCCCAATCATCCTTGTCACTCTCCTCTGAACTTGTTCCAATTTGTTAGCATCGTTCTTGAAGTGTGGTGTCCAGAACTCAACACAATACTCAAACTAGATTGAGAGAGTACAACTTCACACAATACCTAACCAGTGCTGAATAGAGGGGGACTAGCACCTCGCGGGATCTGGAAATTATACTTCTATTAATGCAGTCTAAAATAGCATTTGCCTTTTTTGTAGCCACATCACACTGCTGGCTCATATTTAGCTTGTGATCTACGACAATTCCAAGATCCTTCTCGCTCGCAGTTTTGCTGAGCCAGGTATCCCCCATCTTGTAACTGTGCAATTGGTTTCTTTTTCTGAGGTGCAGTACTTTGCACTTATCCCTGTTGAATTTTATTCTGTTGCTTTCAGCCCAGTGCTCCATCCTATCAATGTCATTTTGAATTTTGTTTCTGTTTTCTAGGGTATTAGCTATTCCGCCCAATTTGGCACTTCCTCATCCAAGTCATTAATACAAATACTAAAGAGGACTGAGCCTTGGGGCACCCCACTTGTTACCTCCTCCCGGTTAGAGAAGGACCCATTAAGCATCACCCTCTGAGTACAATTCTGTAGCCATTTGTGTTTCCACCTGACACTTGATCTATCCAGTCCACACCTAGTTTGCTTGCTAATCATGATATCATGGGGCACTTTGTCAAAAGCTTTGCTGAAGTTAAGATATACATCTACAGCATTCCCTCTATCAGGGAGGTTACCTGATTTAAAAAAAAGTTTAAATTAGTTTGGCAGGATTTGTTCTTGACGAATCCATGTTGGCTTCTAGTTATTACTGCATTGTTTTCTAGGCGCTTGCACAATGACTGCTTTATCATCTGTTCCAGAATTGCCTGGGATTGATGTCAGGCTGACTGGTCTGTAGTCCCCAGGTTCCTCTTTTTAGCCCTTTTTGAAGACAGGGACAACAACACTGGCCCTCCTCCAATCCTCTGGCACCTCACTCACTTCCCATAATTTCAAGAAAATAATGGATAGCTATTCTGAGAGTTCTTCCGCCAATTCCTTCAGTACTCTCGGATGCAGTTCATCCGGACCTGGAGATTTGAATTCATTCAAGGTAGTAAGGTATTCCTTGACTATTTGTTTATCTACCTCCAGCTACACTCCTGTCCCCGCGCCACTTGCACTTCCAATTTGTTTGGACGTTCATAGTGTGTCTTATGGGAAAAGACTGAACTAAAATATGAATTGAGCACCTCTGCCTTTTCTTTGTCCTCTGTTACCATTTTCCCATCTCCATTGCGGAGTTGTGCCCTGATGTCTTTTCTATGTCTTTTGCTACTCACATACCCGAAGAATGCTTTTTTATTGCTTTTAGTATGTCTAGCTAACCTCAGCTCATTCTCAGCTTTTGCCCTCATAATGCCATCCCTGCATTTCCTTGCTACTTGTCCGTACCCATCATCCTTGGTGGCCTGGCCTTCTTTCCATTTCCTGTACATGTCTATTTTGGTTTTTAAGTCCTCCCTGAGCTTTTTGTAAAGCCACACTGGCCTTTTTTGTCGCCCACTGAATCAGCAAGGATTTGGTGAGTCAACTCCTATCTAAGTTCCTCTGATTCAATGGGACTACTGTACTCTATTCGTGACTTACTACATTAACATACTGGGTATAAGCCATTGAGATACAGCAGCTCAAAAAAGGCCATTACACAAATCTTTTGCCAGTATCAATGTTATGATCCGAAAGTTTTGCCATTCTTAGAAACAGGATGGATAAAACGGTTTAGGACCTCGATATTTGGTGGAACGCCTGCTCCCACCAAGGTCTACCTGGATCACCCACGCGAGTCAGGAGGTGAGGCTGAGGAGCCTGACGCTGAGAGAGGCCCAGAAGGAAAAGACACGAAACCGGGCCTTCTCGGCAGTGGCTCCTAGCCTCTGGAACAACCTCCCTTCAGAGATTCGTGCAGCCTCTACGCTGGGAATCTTTAAAACCCAATTAAAAACATGGTTGTACATCCAGGCCTTCCCTCCAGTCAATACCTGATTTCTTTTCTATTCCTTCTTATTTTATTCTCACTCTATTTTATTGTAACTGTATCAAATGATTATGTAATGTTCTTGTGTTTTATTGTTTTATCCTATACTGGGAGCCGCCTAGAGTGGCCAAGTAGACCAGATAGGCGGGGTATAAATCAAATAAATCAAATAAATAAATAAATAAATGATTTTTGAAAAATCAAATTGATTTAAGTTTGTTACATAGTCAAAATATCAAATTATTTAAAAAATTAAATTGTGATTTAAAGCCATAATTTATATTTCAAAAATTGGATTTATGATTATTTAAAGCAAGCAAACAAACAAACAAAACAGTTCATACATGCAGCACAATACTGTGGATAAGTGTTTTACCTCTGCGTCTTCTCCAAAAAATCTGTACTTATAACCACATTCAACACACAAAATAGCATCCTTATACTGCTTTTTCATTTCAAGGAACTGGAGCTCAAGTGGTGTATATACAGGTTTTGTTGTTTTTTTGAAAGCCGTATCAGAAATATTTTGGGTGTTTTCACATGAATTTGAGTCAAATGATTGGCTTATACTAGGACAAATTTCTTCCTGTGGAGGGAAGAAATTACATAAGCATGAAGAAATACACATGTCAACACTTAACAAATGTAAACGAGTCTTAGTCAGACAGAGGCTAAGTTTTCCAGTCAGAACCAGGGATGTTGGTGAGTCTTTGGGTCCAAGTCCCATGTCCGAGTCTTTGGTACCAAGTCCTGAATCCCAAGACCAAAATCTGAGTCCCTATTAAAAATAAGCTTTTTTCCCCCAGAAAAAAAAGGGAAGGAATGGCTGAGGTCCAAGTCATGAGTCCAAATCACTGGGGGGAAAAAACCCAAGTTGAGTCACAAGTGTGATTTAAGTCTGACTTGACAGTGAGTCCCGCAACCCAAGTCCCCATCTCTGGTCAGAACTACTGAATTAATGCAGATTTGAATTCCAGCCCAACATTTCAATATCGAGGCATTCTTTATTAAACCATACATTAGACTTTCTAGATCGTAGAAGAAAACAGAGCTAAAAGTCACACTAAGGTAATAAGCTGAAGCACACGATGGCATGCAGTTTCAAATACTGTACAATTCCTCAAAATGCTGTACAGAAAGATTGAGATAATGTGAGAGCACATACATTAGTGGCATGCAATGGTTCAAGATAATAGTTCTGCAAGTTCACTGCAGATCCTTTATTTATAGTCACTTCTCAAAGACAGGTATCAGGAATCATTTTTCTAACTTTAAATCCGGACCGTGTTAAATGTCCTATCCAAAAACATTTTACTGTTTATGAAGACTTCTGTCTCATCCCGTAACTGGTACATTAAATGTACTATACATAGATTTTTTATATACATATAGCGAAAAAACACAGCTGCATAATATTTTCTATATTTTATACGGAATTCGATAAAAAAGGAAAAAATGTATAAAACATTATCAAAATATATAACTGCCAGAATTATGTGAAAAGCTAATGATAGGCTCCTAATAGCAACTTACTGCTAAGTAAGCCTTATTTAACTTAGTGAGGCTTTCTTCTGAGCAAACATGCATATAAAAGCACTACTTCAGAGAAACCCCTGTCACTGTCATCACTGAAACACTTATGCTCCTGTGACTATAAATTAAGGAATCTCAAGTAGTATATAGGAGCAATGAGGCAAAACTCCTATCTTTTCCACAGCTATGCTGATTGGGTGGGCACAAAATGAAGGTGACATGGCATTGTTTCCCTTTCTCCACGGAAAGATGTTTATTTTTTAATTTTATTTTCTGTACTCATCTTTCTTCTTAGTCGTTATAATGGGGACAAAATCCAATGCTAGCTTTCATGAGAGATCACCTTGATCCCTTTCAGAAGAATAGAGTGGCTATGGATGCAAACCCAGCTCTACTACACAGCTGCATTTGAAAGGCTTACACTTGCTACTGCTAGCAGCAGCTTCTGCACACACTACTCTCCAGGATTGCATTGGTTGAATTTCTCTCCATCAGACCCTTGCCTGCACCACTAATAAATATTGTAACAACTGGGGGGAGATTACAGGAGTATAGCTTTTGACTTACAAACTTAATGCGTTCCGGAAGGAAGTTTGTAAGTCGAAAAGTTCGTAAGTTGAATCAGCATTTCCCATAGAAATGCACTGAAAACCAATTAATCCGTTCCAGCTGTTTTTGGTTCCTAAATTGAGGGGCGGTTTGTAACTCAGATCATTAGTTCCCATAGGAACTAATGCAAAGCCAGTTAATCCATTCCTATCACCAGGACAAGACGGAGGTACTAAGGGTGGGCGTCCCCACAGTGGGGGGTTTGGGAAACTCCCTCTCTTTCGGGGGGTGACCCTCCCCGCCAAGGATGGGGTCCGCAGTTTGGGGATCCATCTGGACCCAGCACTTACTATGGAGTCCCAGGTGGCATCTGTGGTCCGAAACGCCTTCTATCATCTTAGGCGGATAGCCCAGCTGCGGTCCTACCTTGATGTGGGGGCCCTCACTACCTTGGTGCATGTGCTCGTAATCTCAAGATTAGACCACTGCAATGTGCTCTACGTGGGCTGCCTTTGAGGCTGCTGCGGAAACTTCAGGTGGTGCAGAATGCTGCGGCCAGACTTCTCAGTGGTGTGAAAAAATACCAACACATTTCACCCACTCTGGCCGCATTGCATTGGCTGCCCATCCGATTCCGCATCGACTTCAAAGTGTTAACGATTACGTATAAAGCCCTAAACGGCTTAGGGCCTCGATACTTGACGGAACGCCTACTTCCACCAAGATCTACCCATGTCACTCGTGCGAGTCAGGCGGTGAGGCTGAGGAGCCTAACGCCGAGGGAGGCCCGGAAAGAAAAGACAAGAAATCGGGCCTTCTCGGCGGTGGCTCCTCGCCTCTGGAA